TTAGTTAGTTAGTTAGTTAGTTAGTTAGTTAGTTAGTTAGTTAGTTAGTTAGTTCATTTCAAACATTTATACAAAAAATGGAATCTTGTTTTGCTTTATGTAATATTGCAATTCCCCTTGACACTTTGGCTTGTACATGTCTGAAATGAGATTTACAGCTTATTTTTTCATCAATTATTATTTCAAGAAAATTAATTTCAGTCACCCTTTCAATTTGAAGCCCCTCTAAATGAACTTGTAATTCTAGTTTAGCTCTGCCAAACCCAATAATAATGAATTTCATTTTGCTCAAGTTCAATGATAATTTATTCATGTCAAACCATTTTTTATTTTCTTTAACTCTGTATCTATCCTATGTTCTAACAATTTCAACCTGAGAAAAATAGGTTTGTGTCATCAGCAAATAAGACATTTAAAAGACTCTGATACCTTACATAAATCATTAATATACAAAATAAATAACTTAGGACCCAATACTGACCCCTGGGGGACACCACAAGTAATGTCCAAACATGAAGAGCAGCAAACACCCATCTTCACAAACTGCTTCCTGTCACTAAGATAACTCTTCACCCATCTCAACACAATGCCCCTGATACCATAACGTTCTAGTTTTTTATTTTATTTTATGATGTAATAAACACCTTGACACTAGAGAGGCACCTGCTTTTGGAGGCAAAGGACACATTTCTACTGAAGAACTACTTTCAGAATTAGGAGCAAACTTTGCGTGACCTCTGCAGGATTAGCCAGGCATGTTTGATTGCTGGTTCTGTGTTGCTTATTGGGCGATATTGGTTAGACAGAGAGATATATCATTTTCTGCCATTGCGGAGGAAAGCGTCCCAGATTTCTTGCCCATGTGGGTTAGAGAAAAAAAAACTGCCCCGCAAACAGAAAATAGACAGAAACATGCATGTGTGGCTGCCAGCAGCGTGTACTATATAACACACAGAAACTCACWCTACACTCCCTCTGTTCCTCTCAAGTTTTCACAGCATCTCTCCTGTCCATCCTTCGGCCTCATTCAGCCAATTAGCAGATTAGCAGTCACTCTCACCACACATGAATCACAACATGGCTCGAGAGCTGTCTGGACTGCGACGACYCAAACTGCGACTGAGAAGCCCTGCAGCCTTTATGAAGCAGTGAAACTCAACCTTTTGTGCATACAGTCGGTTTGCTTCTGTTTCTGCCATAATTAACATTACAAGGAATTAATGTACTGTATTTATATACAGTATATTTGCTGATCAGAAACATTTGAGTGTGATAAAATGAAGAAATCTGTTTCACAGCTCTGTTTGTAAAATGAGCCACAAGAGTTTGTTTACATTTATGTTGGCTGTGATTAGTCAGAGCTGTTTATAGAGTATCTAAGAATATCTGGATTGCCCAGCTTCTCTGTGGATTGTTTTCTTTTTAAAGCCACAGCATCTTCTGTGATCCTGGGAAGGTGATGCTCTTTGGTTCTCTGCAGAAGTGA